CCCCCCCCCCCCCCCAACTGCTGCGTGGTTCCAGTCCCTTCAGGAGAACGTCTTTTTGACTTCCTTCAAATGTATGGAGTTCTCAGGGCAGGAGTTTGATGTTACAAAGACACTACGGTAGAAATTAGTTCTGGAGTAAAAAATAAAAAAAGAATCCAGCTTTTTCAAACCACCATGAAACATACATTAACATTTCCAGTCCTTCTCAAGGACCCTAATGATGCGTGACTTCCTTGAGGAATCATTAGCCTTCAACTTAAACATCTCCGTGCTGTCACCCCCGGTGACCTGCTTTCCTTGAGCTGGACTTGGACTCAGTTGAAATTTTGCAACTGAACAAAAAAGAAAGAACAAAAGATGAGAAATACAATTTTCCAGACCTCCAAAAGTGCTGGCCCTCAGAGAGTCCCTGTGTCCTTGATAATGATTCCAGGAAAGCCTCTGATGCAACGCTGATATTTCCAGACAGATTGTTAGGATAAAGTGAACTTTTTAAAAAGTGCCTCCAGTTTCCAGAGTACGTTGCCGTATCTTTACAGTTAATTATGTTCACGTCTGGTTGTTGTTGGAGACGTTGAGTGATTTTGGTATAGACACCTGGATAGTATAGGTTTTCATTTTGTTTAGTTAACCAATTCATTAAAGAAGACAGTAACTGCACTAACCCACGTAGCTAAACCTGTGCTCGTTTCTTACGCTTGGTTTTGACTCACTACTGCTTTCTTTTGAAATTTCCAGCGCCCCCTGGAGAAGCCGGATGGCCTGGACGTGTCCGACCAGAGTAAGGAGCACCCACAACACCTGTGTGAGAAATGCAAAGTCCTTGGCTACTACTGCCGCCGCGTGCAGTAGTGCTAAAGTTCCAGGTTTGACAAGCGTGAGCCTCCATCAGGCCGTGACCTTTTCCTCGTCTCACTGCAGGGTTCACACACCGACCCCCAAATTATCACGAAGCCTCTGATACAGAACTCTCACATTCACAGGATTTCCCTGCACCCTTTGACTCGGCTTTCACACCAAGCTTCAACTTTCCCTCAGACTTATTGTACATCCAGACCGATGTCGGACGAGCTGCAGATCAGGAGGAGAGAAAACCACAGCCACGGATGAAAACCACAGAGAAAAGAAAGACTGGAGTCCAAGAAGATGCAGGAGGAGAAAAGTTTGGTTCAACTTCACTGCTGTGAACAAAGAAGCTTTTACACCAGCGTGTGAGTGCACCTTAGGTCGGTGTATTACGGTAAAATTACGAGAATGGAAAGAATGAAGTACAACAAACTATTGGAATAAGAACAAAAAACTCTCCGTCAACTTCGTCAAAATGGGCTTTTTACGTTTGTACAATGTATCTGGTTGTACGTGTTTGTTCACCTAACAACACTTTTGGATCATTTTTTTAACACTATTGGTTTAAATCGATGACCTGACTTTGGGGTTTGTCGACTTTGTGTTTACAGAGATCTGCCAGTTTTGTCCGAGTGAAGTTTGTGTCAAGAAGACAAACTTTTTGACTGGTGGTCGTTGTGTAACTGAGTGCGATGCCTTCCACGTCTTGCCATTTTGGGGTCAACAGCACATCTTATTAACTGTGAATTAAATGGGGAACTGTGTGCCATACATCTTTAGCTTATATCTGGCCTATTTATTCTCTCGTAAATGTCTTCTTCTCGTGTGCAATTTGAAATTTGGACGTAGATGTTTTTTTTTTTTGTATTTTGTATTTGACATTTTTGTCTCAGTCTTTGTGTCGTTAGAAAATACGTTATTGTAACAGGTAACATTTCAGTCGTGCTTACGTTTCGTTTACGCCAAATTTTATATATTTTTTTCTAAAGGTCTGCAGTCTGTTCATGTTTATTACGGTTTACTTCAGATTAACAAAACTCCCCTCCAGTTCTCGGAGGTTCAGTGAGACGCCTTTGTTTATTTTCTGCTCTTTATTTTTGCCTCAGCCAAGTTCCGATCATTTGTTTCAACGTTAACGTGAAACGTATGCAAATCTAAAGCCTTCTTAAATCTATGCATTACCTGAACAGACTCGTTCAGCGCTAGCTTCTAGAAAACCAGCGCCACCTTTGGTGGGAACACAGTATTGTATAAAGCTAACGCTAAAACCACATCAGATATGTTGAAGTTTGGTCAGAGGTGTCATTTGACGTTCAGCCTACATGTATTACCATCTATAGAGTTGTAAATCCACCAGTGTCGGGTTAACATTGTTAAAGTACAAACACCACAGTGACATCGAGAAAACAGACGAAGTTTGGACGTTAGCTTAGCCTTTAATTCAGCTGTAATCGACTGGCTGTGACTACAGAAACAAACAAGTCAAACCAGATGTGATTTCCTCCTATTTACACCAGGATCTATGGTTGTTTAGTTGACACCATGATATATATAAAATCAAAGAGACCTTTGGTCCAAACAGTTTGGTCTTTAAAGGTTCAGTGCACCATTTGACTTTAGTCTCTGTTTTGTCCAAGCTCTTGGTTGTCTGTAATTCAGAATTGTAATTTTGTTTTGCCCGACGTGAAGAGCCAGGATTACGTGAAGTCACTTTTGCCACAAAGGAGTCCAAATATTTGCTGGATGTGAGCTGGAAAGACTTTAATGATGACAATTGGATGCCTGGCAGCGTCGGTGGAGTCGCTGAAGTTTTCTTTTCACCTTCGCCGACTCTCAAAATAACCTAAAACCGTTGTCCTTCGGCTGACTGCCTCGTAAAGAGAGTCCAGAGAAAAGTGAACGCTTTGGGAGCCTGAAATAATTCTGAGAAAGATTGCAAGAAACTATAGGCGTCAAGTTAAGTAGGGGGCGCTGTGGAGGAAATAAGGACTATTATGAAAGTGCTGATGGGGAAACTCTACAAGTTGCCTTAAAAGAAACTGATATGAGATTTGTCAAATATTTTATACCTTACTGTGTCTTTTACCGTATAAAAAAATGATGAACTATATTTTCTAATGTGTAAAAAACAACATGTGCCTTAAAGAAAAGAGAAAAAGAAATCCTAAAATACAAAAGGCTGGACGGTGAAAAACAGGAACTGGTCTGAGATTTGGTTTGTAACAAGACAAATGGACTGGAG